CACAGTATTTGGCATGTACAAATACGTAGTGAAAATTAAATATTATTTTTTTGCAAACACTTGAAAAACATTGAGTTAATTTTGTGATTATTTTATGAAGTGTTAAGCTTTTTTTTTTTAAATATTTATTTTTTAGTTTTCGGCTGACACAACATTTTTGTTTGGCATGTGGTGCTGAGGATCGAACACGGGCCGCACGCATGCCAGGCAAGCGCGCTACCGCTTGAGCCACATCCCCAGCCCAAGTGTTAAGCTTTTGCATGCTAGTTTACTTTGTGATGTCTCTCTGTAATCCTGGAATTGGAATACTAAGGTTGTGGCCAAATGTGACTTGCCAATTTTGGTAAAGTTTTATTGGAACACAGTTACATCCATTTTGTGTGTGTGTGTGTGTGTGTGTGGCTGCTTTCAAGCTGCATTGGCCAAGTTGATCAGTTGCTACAGAGAGTATGAGATCCACCAAAGTCTATGATTTTTACCAACTAGCCTTTTCAGAAAAAGTTTGTCAACTTCTGCTCTGGCTATTGTTACCGATTTATCCTGTGTCCTCAGAGAAGTTGTATTATGCCTCCAATAAGTGGTAAAAAATTCATAGATGATATTTATATATTTCAGGAGTTTTATTTTTTCACAAGCCATTATGAATGATGGAAAGTGAATGTGTGTGAAAAGACTGTATTTTTCTAAGGCGGTGCATTGACCTCGTGCACTAAAGTTTTGCATAGTACTCAGAATAAAAACTAAAGCTCTGCAAAGCCTTGTGAGATCTTATGAAATTCAACCCTCCTCCCCTCTCTGATTTCATTTCCTGTTCTTTTTAACCCCTCTCTCTGTATACCAGCCATACTAGACTCCTTGTTGCTCATGCTTACCTCCTTTCAGAAGCTGGTACTTTCTGTTTCCACTGCTTGCATGATTTTTTTTTTCCTCCTTCAAGTCTTTAATCCAATGCCATTTGGTGTCTGCCTACCTCATCTAAAATTGCAGCCTATTCCACCCCACCCCATAAACATTTCTTCTTTTCTTTCCTGCATTACATACTCAGTTGATTTGTTTATGGCTTGTCTTCCTGAAGGTCCATAAGGTTATTAACTTTTTTTCTGCACTAGTAACTGCTTTGTTCACACAACATCTAGAATGGTACCTAGTATATACCAGATGCTCAGTAAATGGTTTTGGATAAGTGAATTTGCATGAGTTGGTGATAAGCCCAAATTTTCCTTACCCAATTGTAGTCTTCTAGTTCCTTCCTTTTACAAGGTAAGGAGCATAAGACACATTTGAGGGAAATTGCAACATTTGAACAAATGTGTAAGAAGTTTTAGAAGTTGTCAGTTTTTCTCACTTTGGTTTTATGGCTTTAAAAATGTGATTTGTTGCCCAGTACTATCATCAGCATCACTTGAGGATTTATAACAAGCTTGTTAGAAGTGGAGGTCTCTGCAGACCTCCTGGGTCAGAATCTGCATTTTTATAAAGTCTCAGGTGATTTGTATGCCTGCCTGTTGGAGGCATTTAGAGTTCATAGAGTTTTGAAACATGCTGGGTGGCCTAGGTTATTTGATAGCCGCTGAATTAGTTTAATTCAGAAGACTAAAGGTTTTACTTTGCTTCTTAGTACTTCTTTTACCACAGTTAATTTTATATGTTATTTGATATCTTATATTTTTAAATTTATTTTACTCTTTTTATGTTTTTAAAGCTTATATTTATTGTTCCTAGGAATTATGAAGTGCCACATTGAAAGCTCAACCAGAATAGCCTGCTTAGTGCACAGATTGTATTACACACAAAGGATTCTCTGTTTTACGAATGAATGGCAGAGGATGGCGAAAGTGCTGCCTTCATTCTCTTGTGAACATGGCACACATCCCATTACCTTTGAGTTTATACTTGATCATAATCCATGTTCATGTCATACTTCAGATTTTCTATAAAATGGCATATTAGGATAAATGAACCTATTCATTATTTTGGGGAGTCAACCACACAGTGACACATTCACTCATTTTTTTCATTTAACTACTGTTTATTGAAGGTTTATATCATATCTGACTCTGTGTTATTTATTAGAAAATTACAAATACTTGCCTGACTTTCCAGATTTTTGTGAGGTTTGGTGGTGAGACTATAGTCTCTTTGATACATTGTTAATATATAAATGAGTGGTTACTTTCTACTTAAATCCAAGATATACCCAATCTCTTAAAGATAATTCTTCTTATATGTTGAATGTTCTAGATTCCAAGTAGGATAAAGTTTCTTAATTTATGCCAACAACAAAGATTGTTAAGATTTAGACTGAGAACTCATCAAAGAGTTAGGCTAACAACTGAAAAGATCTAGTCTAACAATCTCTCCCTATGAGGCAATGAATATAATAAGAGGTTGTTACTAGAGTGATTTTTAAGATTATGTCTTCGGATTATTACTTTCTTAAGTATAATCAAGAATACTTTATCTGATTTTATATTTATATGATTTTATTAGATTTTATCTAATCTTATAAAACTCATACTGATTAGGACATGGGATTCTTTACTTCTCATATAAACAGAATTTTACAACCTTTCAAACTAAAAAAAATGAAGTTGCAACTGTCTTGCAGTTTAGGCTACTAGGAAAAAAACACCATTAATTCAGAAGATATTTGTATAAGGCTCCTTGGAAGTTGCCCATTTTCAATATGAAGCAGAGGGTTATAGAAAGAAAAGACTCATTTCCTTTATTATGTCAAAAAAGTACTCTTTCAATAAAACTATTCCATTTTACCTAACTTTCTCAAGTTTAGAGCTTTCCTTTTTTTAGCATATTAAGTCTGAACCAAAACTTATTAATATGACTAGAGAAGTCTTAAGTGTGGGGAAATGCCACAAAAAGTAGTTTATTCTAGTGTGATAAACTTGATAATCATTCACAGACTTTTTCATTTGATGCATTCAGTTTAGATGAATTTACCTTAAAAGTTGACTTTCTATATCTTATGCAATTATAGCACAATAGTACAAGAACTTAATTTTGAGTAAATCAATTCAAGTGAAGACTGATTCTGAAATAATTCTTTTAGTTAGGTACTATGCAATAAAGACTCCATCTATAAAGATCTCAATATTTAATGGAACATTGACATTTTTATATCATCTAGTACTAGGCTTAATGTGCAGTAGATTGTCAATTATTATTAAGAAGTGAAACAATTTCTGAGTCCTCCCCTCTGAAACCTCTACCTACTTCAATACCAGTATACATTAAGAAAACTATTGTTTCACTGAGATTCCTATTATTTTGTTTGTTTTTTTGCTATGTATCTATCATTTGTCAATATACACATATATATCTATGAAAAGAATATATTTATATTCATTCATATATTTATATTCATTTATATTTTATGTATTCTAAATTTATATATTATTAATATATATTTATATATTATAAATATATATCAGGCATATATTTATACATTATAGATATATATAACATACAATATAAATATATTATACATTTGTATATTATTTATATTTTTATTAAATATAAATATATATGTGTTTACAAATACATAAAATTTATATATTTGTATCTGTATAGAGCTAACCAACTTTTCAAGTGTTTTAAAAAATATTTTCAAAAGTTTGAATTAACACAAGTGTTTCTTGAGTGACTTTTTTGTTTTTAAGATTTATTGTTTCTCGAGTAGGACTCTGTAGTGGCACACCCTCCTCCACAAAAAAATCTCAATTAAGTTTCTCTAGAAATCTTCACCATAATTGATTTTAAGACTATAAGCAAAAGAGTCTCTACAAAAAAGTTCAATGTATTTAAACTTCCTATTTTCCTGTTGCTCTATTTTACTTGACCACTGGCCAAGAAGAAATCAGCACTCCAGGTGCTGAATGCCCCTTTACTTGTTTTCCCAAACATGTATCCAGTATAGTAGTTTGTAGAAATATGTAAATAAGGCCTCTGGCCTTGAGCTGGAGCTTCACAGAGATGTCTACATTTCTAAGAGAAGTTACCAATTGGGCTCCATGGTAACAGCTGGCAGGGGAAAGAAAGAAAGGGGAGTTGTCCTTGAAGGTGTTAACTTGCCCAGAACAGTGAAAGAAAAAGCTGCTTTTATGTAAACTTTTGCAGACTGTGAACTTCTGAGCCTCTCCCCTTACATGCTGGGTATAAAGTTCTGAAACTCCCTGAACTCAGGGTTTGGGGGATTGATTGATTGCAGCAAAAGCTGTGCCCTCTGAACCTGGCTGCAGCCAAATAAAACTATTTCTTGCTATCTTTGGTGCCTTGCCTCATCTGTCCCCACAACACCTCTACTTTCTAGTCAATTCATAGGAACATTTTAACCATAAAACTATATTAGAAAGGACTTTTCATTTTAAAGTCTTTATTTGTTTAGGTATTTTTAAAAAACTATTATAATTGCTTATCCCTGTATTGGTACATCATATTGTCCTTTAGAAAACTTATCATGAAGGGTCAACTTTAAACATTACCATTTTCTAAAATTTTAAAGCATTTAGTCAATTTATGCTCTTTTTCTCTGTCAGTTCGATTATAATTTCTTTTTTAATATTTTTTAGTTGCCAATGGGTTTTTCACTTTATTTGTTTATTTATATGTGGTGCTGAGGATCAAACCAGGGCCTCACACATGCCAGGCAAGCATTCTACCACTGAGCCACAATCCCTCGATTATAATTTTTTTTGAAGAATAAAAAATAAGAGATGACTTTAGGTAAGATATAACTCCCCAGATTCTACTTGCCTTGTCTTCCTCATGCTTGGTACACTCTTTTCTCATGTCCACTATCCCTGACCAGAGGATTAGTAATAGTAAATGAAAAGAAAAAGGAAAATAAGAAGAGTCCATAATTATCAACAGCTTAACACTGTATTTTTATATAATGAAGGACATGATCACTGGTATCAAAACTTTATTTGACATTATGATTAGCAAGAAATAAACAAAGGACATTTAAGATTGGGGGTACTTACCATGAAACATAAAATAAGAGCCAGCAGGCCCACGATGGAAGGTAAGCTTTTCATTCTTTACTGTTCCTGAAAGAAGGCCAGTGATTTTCCATGGTTAGTCAAATCTATTGATAGTATTTTTCTTAATTTAAAATAAAAATTTAGAATATATTCTAATACTATTTATGTAATATAATAAAGAAATAGCACTACAGCCTTTTAAAGTTGTGCTTGTCACTTTGCAGAAAGGAAAAATATATCACAGCAATATTGTTACATTTGTTATATCTTAAAATAAAATGATAGCCTTGTTCTATGAAAGGTAATTCCCAGACAATTGTTCAAAGTACATTTTGAAAATAAAATTAATTTTGAACAATCCCTGTTGCCTCTATTGGTGACGATTTTGGAGTAAAATGACTTGTGTATACTTTTGTTATATTTACATAAAGTTAGTCAAACTTACAGATTTCTGCCTTGATATTGTCACTGTCATAGGACTATTATGAAAAATAACTTTTTAGTATAATAACTGTATTATTATTATTTGAAAGAAAAAGAATTGTGCAATATGTGTTTTTCCTTTAACATCAATCTACTTAAGTATTATTGCCCTGATACATATCTTTATTTCAAGAAATTCTCGAAAGTCAATTATTATCAATCAGTGTGTTGAGAAGATTTTATCTTCAGTTTGATTACAATTTCCAATAATATATCACAAGTACATGGCAACTGTGTTCAATAAAGCAAAGTTCATCTATCATCATTGCTGGTTGGTTGCCTTGGGGTTAGGTTAGTGTTGTGTCTATCATTTGTACTAGCATTCAAAATGAAAGAGTTACTGATTCTATAGTTGTGGTTACTCCTTAAAATTACTTTATCCAATATTCTATCTTAAAAGCAGCTTAAAAATACATAAGAAATCCAACTCAAATGAGAATAACAGAAATGTAAATAACAGAAATGTCTTTTTGTACATTTTTAAGACTCCTCTACTTATGATTGACTTTAGAGACCATCAAAATATATCAGCAAAAAATGTCAACAGATTTTGAAATTGGATGTAAATTGTACAATCAACATAAATGATGTTGATTTTAAACTTTACTACTGGTGATATTTTTTCTTAAAATACATCTGAGAGTATTGGAGAACATGACTATTTCTATTAAAAGTCGTGAGACTGATATGCTTGAGAATATGAGCAAAAGAGTTCCAAAGTCAAAATCCTTGCATTTATAGTTCTAAGTACTTACCTTAGTAGGAGAATCTTCTCTGAAACAATCAAACGGTTGATTAACCTTGCTCTTGCCAAATACTCAGTTTAGGTAGCCACAGTTTGAAAATTCAAGAAGAAAGAGAACTTTCACCAGAAAAGCCTCCCTTTTTAAATACTGCTGTTTGGATTCCTGTTGGAGTTAAGGGAAAGATTGAAAGAAGGTGAACTTCTGTATTGATAATCTTTACTGAAACAAAGAATAATAGTTGCAGTTGCCAATTTGGCAGCTTCACTGATGGAATTGTGATTCAATCACTGTTTAATAGACCTTGGGAATCATGTTGAATGCTACTGTACAATGGTTTCAAACTTGATTGAAAATTATAATTATATAGGGAGCTTTAAAAAAAATCTCAATTCTCAGTCTTTTCCCGAGACTAATTTGTCAGAAGTTATGGGAAAAGAACTTTAAAAAACACCCCAAGAGTCACAAAGTAAAACCTTTGAGAACTACTGTAAAATAGTATAGAATTTGGCTTCCACATTTCTAGATACATGTATCAGAACTAACATGAACACTGTGAGAATTGGCTTATTTGAGCAGAAACTTACTTGGGAAGAAAGATTTTTGAAGAATAGAAAAATGAGGCAGTTGAGATAAATGCAGTGTCTCAATTTTGAAAATAACAGGAAATGTCTACTTGTGGGAGATGAAGAAATAGGAAACAGCCTCTGATAGTTTCTTTTCTTTTTTTACTTTATAAATTTTTAAATTTGTTTGAATTAGTTGTACCTGGCACTAGAATGCATTTATGTACTTTAATATATCATACATAAATGGGGTATAATGATAAATTCTTAATCTTAATTTAAGATTTCTTTCCTAGGTATGTATTTTACTAAAATCATGCTTTGAACCGTTTAAAACATTAACTGTATGGAAATTACTTAACAATTTTTCTTGTAGCTAATGAATAGCTGGCCTACTTAAAGGCTAATAAAAATGTCAGATTATATTGGGTTCTACAAAAGATAATGTTAACACCACATTTACAAAATAAGATAGTAATAGTTCTACGTTACAGAATTGCTCTGGTGTTCTGTTGAATTAAAACATAGAAAAACCTGATCCATGTTAGTCAATGAAGTCTCTCAATGGGAATTCCTTACTAAATTTTTAACATATTCTGTTATGATGACTCTTTAGTAAGTAAAGGGTAAACTGTATTTATGTGTAACAAAAGATGACCAAAAACTTTTGGTGATGATAAGAAATTGATGGCTGGGGATGTGGCTCAAGCCGTAGCACGCTTGCCTGGCATGCGGCACGTGCCTCCCGGGTTCGATCCTCAGCACCACATACAAACAAAAATCTTGTGTCCGCCAAAAAAATAAATAAATAAATAAAAAATTCTCTCTCTCTCTCTCTTTTAAAAAAAAGAAATTGAGTTGGAATTGATCTTAAACTACCAAGTTTTGTTTGCCTCGTGGCTAATGACAACTAGTTGGCAACTAGAACTCACATACAATTGTCAGTTTGCTGATTATGTTTTGCACAATCCTGTAACTTTATGTGACCTAGAAGATCTTCTAATATTGCATATGTCCTGAATTGTTGCTTTCTCTAAACATGCTCATTTTGTGAAAAAGAAACAACTTTTTTCCTTGCTTGGTGCTGTACATTGTTTTGATAACTTGATATTTTTTAGCCAAGTGTTTTAAAGTGATTTATATTTGTAATGGATCACTGGCTATGCAGAACTTAAGGATAAACATTGTCAAAACTGAAATAATTTCCTCAAGGATCATAGCCAACAAAAGATTAGAGTGTCGGAAGTTGGCGGAAGTATACTTCTTTTAAAAACAAAAACTGTTACTCAAAGAAGAATTTTAACTAAAACCTGTCTTTACAAGATCTTGACTGGGTCCTTTTTTCATAAGGTACTTAAAGTAACCATTGTCTTTTGTTACAGGAAATTTAAATTGATGATGTAGTCTTATCATTGTTAGTGAGTATGATTATTTAGCAGATATATATATATATATATATATATATATATATATATATATATATATATTTTAATTTTTTATTGTTGGCTGTTCAAAACATTACATAGTTCTTGATATATCATATTTCACACTTTGATTCAAGTGGGTTATGAGCTCCCATTTTTACCCCATATACAGATTGCAGAATTACATCAGTTACACATCCATTGATTTACATATTGCCATACTAGTGTCTGTTGTGTTCTGCTGCCTTTCCTATCCTCTACTATCCCCCCTCCCCTCCCCTCCCCTTTTCTCTCTCTGCCCCCTCTACTGGCATTCATTTGTCCCCCTTGTATTATTTTTCCCTTTCCCCTCACTTCCTCTTGTATGTACTTTTGTATAACCCTGAGGGTCTCCTTCCATTTCCATGCAATTTCCCTTCTCTCTCCCTTTCCCTCCCACCTCTCATCCCTGTTTAATGTTAATCTTCTTCTCATGCTCTTCGACCCTACTCTGTTCTTAGTTACTCTCCTTATATCAAAGAAGACATTTGGCATTTGTTTTTTAGGGATTGGCTAGCTTCACTTAGCATAATCTGCTCTAATGCCATCCATTTCCCTGTAAATTCTATGATTTTGTCATTTTTTAATGCAGAGTAATACTCCATTGTGTATAAATGCCACATTTTTTTTTATCCATTCATCTATTGAAGGGCATCTAGGTTGGTTCCACAGTCTTGCTATTGTGAATTGTGCTGCTATGAACATCGATGTAGCAGTGTCCCTGTAGCATGCTCTTTTTAGGTCTTTAGGGAATAGACCAAGAAGGGGAATAGCTGGGTCAAATGGTGGCTCCATTCCCAGCTTTCCAAGAAATCTCCATACTGCTTTCCAAATTGGCTGCACCAATTTGCAGTCCCACCAGCAATGTACAAGTGTACCCTTTTCCCCACATCCTCGCCAGCACTTGTTGTTGTTTGACTTCATAATGGCTGCCAATCTAACTGGAGTGAGATGGTATCTTCGGGTGTTTTTGATTTGCATTTCTCTGACTGCTAGAGATGGTGAGCATTTTTTCATGTACTTGTTGATTGATTGTATGTCCTCCTCTGAGAAGTGTCTGTTCAGGTCCTTGGCCCATTTGTTGATTGGGTTGTTTGTTCTCTTATTGTCTAATTTTTTGAGTTCTTTGTATACTCTGGATATTAGGGCTCTATCTGAAGTGTGAGGAGTAAAGATTTGTTCCCAGGATGTAGGCTCTCTATTTACCTCTCTTATTGTATCTTTTGCTGAGAAAAAACTTTTTAGTTTGAGTAAGTCCCATTTGTTGATTCTAGTTATTAACTTTTGTGCTATGGGTGTCCTATTGAGGAATTTGGAGCCCGACCCCACAGTATGTAGATCGTAGCCAACTTTTTCTTCTATCAGAAGGCGTTTCTCTGATTTGATATCAAGCTCCTTGATCCATTTTGAATTAACTTTTGTGCATGGTGAGAGAAAGGGATTCAGTTTCATTTTGTTGCATATGGATTTCCAGTTTTCCCAGCACCATTTGTTGAAGATGCTATCCTTCCTCCATTGCATGCTTTTAGCCCCTTTATCAAATATAAGGTAGTTGTAGTTTTGTGGATTGGTTTCTGTGTCCTCTATTCTGTACCATTGATTCACCCACCTGTTTTGGTACCAGTACCATGCTGTTTTTGTTACTATTGCTCTGTAGTATAGTTTGAAGTCAGGTATCGCTATACCGCCTGATTCACACTTCCTGCTTAGCATTGTTTTTGCTATTCTGGGTCTTTTATTTTTCCATATGAATTTCATGATTGCTTTCTCTATTTCTACAAGAAATGCCGTTGGGATTTTGATTGGCATTGCATTAAACCTATAGAGAACTTTTGGTAATATCGCCATTTTGATGATGTTAGTTCTGCCTATCCATGAACAGGGTATATTTTTCCATCTTCTAAGATCTTCTTCTATTTCTCTCTTTAGGGTTCTGTAGTTTTCATTGTATAAGTCTTTCACCTCTTTTGTTAGGTTGATTCCCAAGTATTTTATTTTTTTTGAAGATATTGTGAATGGAGTGGTTGTCCTCATTTCCATTTCAGAGGATTTGTCGCTGATATACAGGAATGCCTTTGATTTATGCGTGTTGATTTTATATCCTGCCACTTTGCTGAATTCATTTATTAGCTCTAATAGTTTCTTTGTAGACCCTTTTGGGTCTGCTAGGTATAGAATCATGTCATCTGCAAATAGTGATAATTTAAGTTCTTCTTTTCCTATTTTGATGCCTTTAATTTCTTTCATCTGTCTAATTGCTCTGGCCAGTGTTTCAAGAACTATGTTGAACAGAAGTGGAGAGAGAGGGCATCCCTGTCTTGTTCCAGATTTTAGAGGGAATGCCTTCAGTTTTTCTCCATTCAGAATGATGCTAGCCTGAGGCTTAGCATAGATTGCTTTTACAATATTGAGGTATGTTCCTGTTATCCCTAGTTTTTCTAGAGTTTTGAACATAAAGGGATGCTGTACTTTGTCGAATGCTTTTTCCGCATCTATCGAGATGATCATATGGTTCTTATTTTTAAGTCTATTGATGTGGTGAATAACATTTATTGATTTCCGTATATTGAACCAGCCTTGCATCCCAGGGATGAATCCTACTTGATCATGGTGCACAATTTTTTTGATATGTTTTTGTATCCAATTCGCCAGAATTTTATTGAGGATTTTTGCATCTAGGTTCATTAGAGGTATTGGTCTGTAGTTTTCTTTCTTTGAAGTGTCTTTGTCTGGTTTAGGTATCAGGGTGATGTTGGCCTCGTAGAATGAATTTGGAAGTTCTCCCTCTTTTTCTATTTCCTGAAGTAGCTTGAAAAGTATTGGTATTAGTTCCTCTTTAAAGGTTTTGTAAAACTCTGCTGTGTACCCATCCGGTCCTGGGCTTTTCTTAGTTGGTAGTCTTTTGATGGTTTCTTCTATTTCCTCAATTGATATTGGTCTGTTTAGGTTGTCTATATCCTCCTGACTCAATCTGGGCAGGTCATATGACTTAAGAAATTTATCGATGCCTTCACTATCTTCTAATTTATTGGAGTATAAGGATTCAAAATAATTTTTGATTATCTTCTGTATATCTGAAGTGTCTGTTGTGATATTGCCTTTTTCATCCCGTATGCTAGTAATTTGAGTTCTC